TACACAAGTGTACTGCGTTGTTATATGCAGACTGCACTTTGGGATAGTGTTCGTCCCAATCGATCTGAAAGAGCCCAAGTGTACTGCGTTGTTATATGCAGACTGCACTTTGGGATAGTGTTCGTCCCAATCGATCTGAAAGAGCCTAATGTACGTGTAGCACTTGTTGGAGCAGCTTGTTCATCTGTTGAGTCTGGTCGTTGGTCTTCGGGTGTCGACCGTAAGACATGGTCAACTTTGACCCATATCCTTTCATCAATTGTTGGCAGTGCTCGCCCGTGAATCTGGTATCTCTATCACTAACAATTGTTAGTGGGTGTCTCTAATCTTTAACACGGTGACTGAAGATTTCTCTAATCAGTACGTTTGTCTTCGCCTCGACGGGCAGCGGTATAAAAACAACAAATTTAGTAAACCTATCTACTACCACCATCACTTGACTCTTCCCGTTTCTGCTTTTGACTTTCGCGTCCATGAAGTCGACTGACGCGGACTCACCGGGACCGGACGGAACAGCTAGTGGCCTCAACAGGCCAAGTGGGGCTTGTGTGGAACTTTTGTTCCGCTGACACACGTGACAACCCTGGATATAAGCAATACAATTGTGCTTCATGCTGATCCAGGTAAAGGACCATAGCAGATTAGCGTAAGTCTTTCTCCAACCGAAATGGCCCTCGGTGTCGTGGCATTCCCTCGAGATTAAGCTTTTGACAGTCTCACAATTCGAAACGCAGAGGCTGTCAAACATGTTCGTCTTTTCAAAAAGCAATTTGTCATCCACTCTATAGTCTAGGACTTAGTGAGATGTTGTTTGAACCCTCTTAATCATTTCGTTGTAAACTGGGTCGTCGGCATACGCAACCGTGATCTGTTGTAGGTAAGTCACGATTGCACCGAAGAAATTTTCGCGTCTACTCAACGCGTTAGGGACGACGTTGTATTTGCCCTTGACTGGTTTCAATTCGAAATCAAACTGATCTATCTCCCCAACCCACCTAGTCAACTTCGGGGTCATTCGGGTCTGGGTTTTCAACCAGCGTAGGGTCTTATGGTTAGAATAGACTTTAAAGTGCCTTCCTAGGATATAGTGTCGCTAGTCATTTAATACTTCCCGTAAGATGAACAGCTCGCGCTCATACGTCGACGCAGCGACCTTCTCACTAGGCAATCTACAAGACAAGAACTCGGTCGGCCTATAGCCCTCTCCATCGTTTTGTTGGAGTACAGGGCCAATCCCGTATTGGCTCGCATCATTTGTGACAATGAATGAGAGTGATTGATCTGCAACTTATTCAATCAACGACTCCTTCAATTTGTTGAAGGTTGAGGTACAGTCTTTGTCCCAATTCCAAATTGTCTCCTTCCTCAACAGTTTGCACAATGGTGCAACTATCATGTTGAAGTTTCGTACGAACTTTCGGTAGTAACTGGCTAGGCCTAAGAACGACCGCAATTCAGTCAGTATGTGCGGTGTGGGCCAATCCCTGATTGTTGCTATCTTTGTGTTTTCCGGTCAGACTCCATCTCCATCTAGCATGTGGCCTAAATATAGCACTTTACGCTTCGCCCATTCACACTTTTTCGGGTTCAACTTGAATTTCGCAGTGAAAATCAAACGCAGATGATGTTGGTGCTCCTCTAGAGTCTTACTAAAAATCAAAATATCGTCTATGTAAACGACTACAAACTTGTCTAACCATTCACGAAAGAGATCATTCATGCATCTTTGGAAGGTAGCGAGCATTCGCCAGGCCAAACGGCATAACCACAAACTCGTAGTGGCCGTAGCAGGTTGTAAAGGTCGTTTTGTGTTGATCTTCCGGTTGTACTTAGATCTAATGGTAGCCCGACTTCAAGTCAATCTTCGAGAAGTACTTACATACCTGCACCCTATCAAGCAGATCATCTATCCTAGGCAACGGTTCGGCGTTCTTTACAGTAGTTGCATTCAAATCCCTATAATCATTGCACATTCGCAGTTCGCCTTCCTTCTTAAGCAAGAATAGAACCAGTGCATCGTACGACGAGGAGCTAGGCTTAATCCACCCCTTCTCTATTAGTTCATCAAGCTGCTTGTGCAGCTCATCAAGTTCTTTGGGAGACATTTGATAAATAGGGCCCTTGGGAGTCTTGCTATCGGCCTCTATCTCTATCCGGTGCTTGATTTCTCTTTGGTCGAGGTCTTTGGTCTCTCCCAAATCAGCAAACTCTTTCAGCAGTTTCTCAACTGCGGGTGGTGTTGGCTCTTCCTCCCTCTTGCTCTCACTAACCGGCCTAACATACGCTATGAAGACTTGGTGAACCAGATCGGCTTTGACCACGTGCTTGACGAACGCAGGGGCACTTGTGTAGCAAAGGGACAGACTGGACTCTACTTCGGAGTCATGAAAGAGCCGCATTTTCTTCTCATTTCACGATTGTTTACCAGCCTACTCACGACCGCCTCGTCCATTTTCAAAAACGTCATGTCGAAGTGCATCTTCTGCAGTCCCCTTTGGCTAATGTAGCTACATGTAGATCCACTATCAACTAACGCACCTACTCGCTCTCTACTTATTTCTACACCTACTAATATTAG